TGCCTTTAAAACTTACAAAAAGTAACCTAGAGTAACAATTTTCATGCTATGTTTATCAGTTTTTATCTATTGCTTTATCCATTTGCTGAAAACTGCAGATCAGAAATAGTTTTGATGACTATTAGTTATTTTATATATGTATCTAGTAACACAAAGACACAGTAAAAAGGTGGCTGCCCAACAAAGGAATCTAAAAAATTCTGGCATTTAATCAGATTTGAGAAAATGTCAGGTAAGAAATTTTCAGTACCTCCTTTCATTCATTCATAAAATAAAGAAGTTAATGGTCAGAGTTGAATTAGACCAGGAAACAGTAGTATTAAACAGTTCCCAATACACATATAAAAAGATAAAAATTTAACATGTAGAGCTTTTAAGTAAATAAAATTAGGAAATCAGCTGATTTGCATACCTTGGTTTCAACCTTTCAGTATCATCAAGCAATCACCTGAAGAAAAGTTGAAACCAAGGTAGTTGAATTGGCTGATTTCCTAATTTGTGTGTGTGTGCATGTGTGTGTTTTTACCACTCCATGAAAAATGTTGCACCAGTCCTTAATTCTATTACTGCATTGGTGTATATATTTTACATGAGTAATCTAAGATTTTATCTATACAATTAACTCTATTATAGAAAATAATTTTCTTAAACTAATACACTAGAAATAGCCAAAGTGCCATGAAACAGAGTGCATTGTATTAGCAGCCTAATCTACCCTATTTACTAATGACACTTTCTTAGTGATATCAAGTAAAGCCTCCTGCTACCATAAAATTGGAATACTTCATTACTAAGAAAGGGTGATCAGGCTACATGACCAGTAAATATATATATATATATATATGGTCATATTGTTTATTATAATAGAGATTTTTAAATATGCCAATTTTAGCAATTCTAAAAATATCAAAAAGTTAGATGCTCTAAGGCAGGAACTGTTGGCAAGTAAGAAAAACAACATTGCATCTTAAGAGGTGTAAGCAAAAGAAATACAAAATATGCAATAACTACAAAGTGATTACAGTCAAAAGAAAGCAGACACAAATTAGCATGGCTACATTCCATTCAGATCTTCATTTCTAAGCCAAAACTACACTAGATCAGAGCCAAATGTTTTTTGTTGCCAAAATCTTTAAATATAGAATCATAAATTGACATTAATAATTCCAATTTTTGACAAAAAAAAAAAAATCAATTTTTTTTAAGGAGAAACTTGATTCATTTTCTATAGCTCATCAACATTTTACAGGTTATTTAAAGCCAAAAACTATTTTTATATTGTAAGAATTTTTTTGTTTTTTTTGTCATAATGGTTTTTAGTGATACAAGTATTAATAATAATAATAATGGAGAAGAGATGTGGATTCATATCTTTCCCAACAGTATTTGTGTGTAAGTGAATATAACAAACCTAACGAGAATTGAAGCTCTATAATTAACAATTCTGAGTCATTAACCATAACATCACACGCACATCCAAGCTTACTGCACCTGGTATTCATTCCCAAGTGGTCACCCATCTTGGTACTGAGCAGGCTTGACACTGCTTAACTTTGGTGATCATACAGGAAAAGTGATGTGGCCATAAACCAAGAAAGAATAGCAGTAAACAAAGTTTGCTTATCAATATAAAAAATGTTGAAATCTGAATTTCTGAAACCTGGAGATATTTACCCTATTTATATGTGGACTATTGTCCTCATCTTTGTTGTTGTCATATATGGATCTGGGTAACCTACAGGAAATTCTAAACTGAACCCTTTATTTGATCTACAGGCAGGTAGATTGTTCTTGTTCCACTGCTCAGGTCTAAGGATATCTCATCTAGTTCTTATTTTTACTGCTCAATTATTGCTCACCCCATTTCCAACCATACACTGCCTGGAAACAATGATTAGTACTAAAAATAAAGATGAGGACAAGTCTATAAGTAAATATTGTAAACATTAAATGCTGTTCAACTTGAAAGTAGAAAATGTAAAAGACCCAACCCTTTAATAGCTAGAAGGCTTGGATAAACATGGATTCAGTGACAAAGTAACAGGTTTACAAAACTATTTTTTCTTTTTTTAAAATATATTCAGGAATGCATTTAGTATTAACTGAAAATTATTTGCTAAAATATATTTCTTTTATAAACAATAAAAAAATTTATAATAAAACCTTCAAATAAAAAGAATGTAAGTGATAGCCACAGGAACAGTTCCTGTTAATTTAATGTAAATTGACTTCAATATCTTGTAGCATGAAATAAAGCTGAAAGTATCAAGCATCAATAAAAGATAGTAAAATGAAGAGAGTTTCCTATCCGCTAAACATCAACAAATGTCTGACTCACAAAACAGAAACTGACAAATTTATATATACAACTCAACTTGCAAGTTTAGCAAATAAAATAAACTCCATTTACATTTTCATAACCATTTATCCTTTATTGAATCAATTCACTCAGAATGGAATGATATATCTTCAAACATTATTTTTAGTATATATCCGTATTTGAATAGATTCCCCATTTTTATTAAACAGGTTGCATCATGTCTGCTAGTCTGTGCAATTAAGAAAACTTAATGAAGAAAATGTCTGCTCTGACAGAATTCAAACCTGCTTACTCCTTTGTAGGAGAAACCACCTTCTGATCTGGCATGCTTTAGGCCGCTCAGCCAGAGAGCGAGCATCATAGCCTAGCAAAATTCTATTTACTCTTGGGGATGTGCATTCCTTAAAATGGTAAATAGTGGCACTTGCTCTTTGGACAAGAAGTTTAAAAAAATCAGATGGTTTCTCCTCCAGAGGGAAAAAACAGGCTCGAACCATGCCAGAGTTCACATTTAAGCTTTCTGTGTAATAGACACAATACACACCATTTTTTAAAAAAATGGGGCATCTCTTCAAACATTTACTAAAAATAAGATTTGAAATAATAAAAAAATGTCAGATTAAAAAATAAATCCATTAATTCTTTATTTTTAAAGAAAATTGTGTGTGTGTGGTGCATTGACAGGGGGGAGGTACTAAAAAGCTTAGTCCAACCTACTTCCCAAAACATGACCAAATGAATAGATTATTTTTTAAATTCTTTTTCAACACCCCACAATGTATGACACACATTTTTTTTAAACTATATTTATTATTGTCTACTGGCCAGTAGATAATAACTGTACTGTTTAATAATAAAGTACTGTTTAAAAAAAAAGCATCTACTCAAATATGAGTATGCACTAAAAAACAACATATATATATATATATATATATATATATATATGTGCACATCTATAAATTTTCAATATATTTACAGTTTGCATACAAGTTTTCACACATCCAGAACAAATTAATGAAGAAATTGTTTGAATAAATTTTTGCTGCCTAAGTAGACATTTTTATTTTTTGTATATATAATTTTCCATAGCCACAAAACCGGTTTGGCTGATTAAATGACATAACAATTTAATAAAGATTAGTTGCCCAAGTTCAACATTTTTGGAGTGTGTGTGTGTGTGTGTGTGTTTTTTTTCACCGCCAGTCACTTTTGAAATTGTGCTTTGATGAAAGTTGCAGAAATAACACTGCTTTTAGTAACAGAAAAAAATGTCTGGTGAAAACTGTCAAAAAATTGTTTGATTTAAATAACATCCACCACCCACAATTATTCAGACAGACTGACCGATCACATCCCTTGTGAGAAAAATTATGATGGGAAAAATGGGATCATCATTGAATTGGATTCCTTGCAGATTAGGCCATCTTTTTGGTATTATGAGATTCAGGGTGAGGGCACACATAGATAAAATTAAATATATATAAAGACATGGTGAAGGTTCTCAACCTGATCAAAAAAGGATTCAGAAAATTTTCAGTCAGATTTTAGGGTGTGGATTGAGCCAAGAAATTTCTAGTGTGTGTGTATTAACATGCTCAATATCAAGGATAGAGCATATGCAAATATAAAAGTGAACATTGAAGTCAAAACCCAGCAGCTACAGACCATTTCATGCAAAAATACAATCTTCAGGCCATGAAATTGACTTGTTGCTGGGTGATGACTTCAATGTCTACTTTTATATATTTTGTTATTTTTAGTGGGTACCCATATTTGAGTAGACACACAATTTTTTTTTTTAAACTATATTTATTATCGTCTACTGACCAGTAGATAATATACTGTTTAAAAAAACAGAGCATCTACTAAAATATGAGTATGCACTAAAAAATTACATATATATATATATATATATATATATATATATATATATACACACACACACACACACAGAGTGCTGCAAGAGTATTTCATGCTTAAATGCAATCTGTGATGTATTTACCTATGCTCTATCCTTGATATTGAGCACTTTAATCTAATATAATCAAATATGGATAAATTAATTTACAGTAAGGAAATTTTTCAATTAAAAAAAAAAATTATCACATAACTTAAAACTATATAAGTAATAATGAGAATTTAGTCAAACTTTTATGGTTGTTAAGCAACTGCAGAGATTAATTTATAGGTAAGCATTACAAGTTTGATAGCTGACATGGAGAAAGTGTAAAAATATATCTTATGGAACAAACGGTGTTAATTATTACACAGTGTCGGAGGACAATAGAAGCAAGGTGAAAAATCAATATTACTCAATATGAGAAATGTATTTATTATAAAAAGAAATTATTTTAGAGAAGACAGGACAGTAGCAATTAAGTATGTTGCAAGGTTTGCTTAAAGACAAAACTCAAAATATTAGAGAACATGCATTCTGCTAAATGAATTCTAAAAGAATCAATAACAGTTCCAGGAAACTATTTCCATGCCATGTCCTATAAATAATAGATATTATAAATATTTTCTATGCTAAAATTACTGAGGAACCATTGATTATTTTTTAGATATTTACCTTTTCTATTGCAAAGTTTTATTAAGAGCTTATTTTTTTTTTTTAATATGGATTATTAAAATAAGTTTTCAAAATATGATAAGTAATGAAAAGGCGAAAGGAGCCTACCTTTGATATCTCTATGGAGTTTCTTTTCTGAATGTAAGTAATCCAGACCTTTGAGAATTTCCCTAAGAATGATGGCAATATCATTTTCATGGAATGGGCCTGCCTTCATGAGGTCAAGTGCGGAACCTCCACCCAGATACTCCATAATGATCCATAATTTTGTTCCCTGGAAAAAGAAAAAAAAAGAAAGAAAATCAGTTACACAGCTCTGAAGTATTCCCTCTACAATGAGAAGGGGAAAATAAAAAGTAAAACTGCATCAAGTGAACTCATTCCTTACACAAAACTGAACAATATCTTTTACATGAAAAACAAAAAACATCTCAAATTTACATGCAATTGTTTAAAAAAAAAAAAAAAAAAAAATCCAGAGGACAAATGTGAACCAGACAACAGGAAAATCTATCTACCTCTATTGTCTTTCTACAGATTATATACAAGGTGATTGAAAAACTCCCTATTTTTTGTATGAGGGACTCTCCCATCTTGTAAAAATTATAGTTAGATGGGAGAGTCCATCATACATAAAATAGTGAGTTACTTTTCTATATATATCTCACACACACACACACACACAAGCTTAAAAGCAGCCCTGCATAGGGATCATGACTGGACCTTCATCACAATAGGTAGGGAAGAGTAGATGCAAAAAGGCAACAATAAACTACAGAAGAACTCAAAATTTTTGGCTGCATTTAAGTATTACATTAACTTTTAAAAGTTCAACAATAATTCTTCTGCCATCATTTAATTTAAAGACCATTTGATGTATGTAGGTCCTTACTTTCTATACAATTATTTTTTTTTTTTTTTTTTTTTATTTCATGGTGACTTTTGCAATTAATTTCAATTATTCACAAATTCATTCCCAAGTTACAAAATCATACGAAAAACAATGTTGCAAAAAATTAATTAAAAAAAAAAAAAAAAATTTGCCAAAAACAATGGCAGTAATGAAAACTTGGGAATCCAAAATTTCAGGATTGCAAGTCCAGATTCAGCCCAGAATGTTTTTGATTTGCACGTGGGTCAGCCTTTCTTCTAAATGGTTCGATATGTTAGGCTACGGCCTCTAAGAATAAAGTTGAAAAGGTGTGACACACTGACATTTATATTTATTATATAGATATATATAAATAAAACATTCTGTATAAATGGAGTTTCTTCTACAGTTCAACTGTCATCTGACTTGTGTTGGCATTTGAAGTAACTTACCATCAACACTGGCATGTCACAATTAGGGAAGTAAAATAAAAATAAAAGGCAGGAACAGAGTTAATGAATAGTAATTGGCATCTGACAAAAATAAAATTTAGTCATGTTAGATTTATAAAAGTATATTGATTTGGAGAGGTTCAATATCTGAATTTCTGACATGTGGAATTATTTTTTACATTATAGGACTAATGCTCATCTTTGTCGTTGTTGTTGTTGTTGTTGTTATGACAACATTTTGTCCATTGTGTCCTATGCCCTTCCTCAGGTCTCTGTCGACCCAAATAACCTTTCAGAGGAATTTCAAACTGAACCCTTTATCCAATTTACAGGGATAGAGTGTTCTAGTTATGCTGTCTATGTCTAGAGACACATCACAAGATATGGACAAACAGAACAAGAATGAATTAAAGAATAAATAAAGAGTCCTGTTCAAAATTCCATGATTGACAGACGCTCTAATGAAAGCCAGAGAAAGTAACAGTTGAAACGTGAGAGGGAAAAAAAAAAGTACATTAAGTTGAAATATAAATAATAGTATATGCAATCTGTATTTCCATTTCATTTCAATAGATGCAAGAATTCAGATTAGAAGCAACATGACACTATCACAGTGAAGGCTTTTTTATTTTACATAGACATGCATCATCATTCTATTTTTATATACAGATATCTACAAATTTATATGAATCTGGTAACTATGAAAAAAGGTTTTGCAACTGACATATAGAAAAGTTTAAAAGAGAAATCCTAACACTCGGCCCCAATTTTTTTTACGAGTTTTAAAGAATTTTTCCTGTTGAAAGTTAAACTTTTTATAAGAAATGATGAAGGTGATCATGGCTTGCCAGTTTCCTTTTCTTTATTAACTGTAAATTGCTAAGCCTTCTTGAGAAATACAGGAGTCATTTTCTATTGTCTTCTCCACAGTTTGGAATTCAGAGTTTTCCTTCTCTTAGACTGGTTGCCACCCAATCTAGAGAGCTTGGTCTACCATGCTATTTAACCCATAGCTGGCAGAAGAGATGTATTCATACCTTTCCCAAGGGCATTAGTGCAAGAGTCTATGCAAAAGACTAAGCTGGAACTTGAACTCAGCATGCAGATTCCACTTTCCATTCTGATAAACATTACACTACCCAAACATCCTATGTAGATGTCTAGCCTTTTCAGAAGACAAGGCTTCAAATGTCCCATTCATAAGAGACAAAATAGAAGAACTTGAAACATCTTTATTATTAAGCTAAATGCTTTAGATCTAAGATTTTAGGTGATACATTGTAAAGCTGTTATTGTGTTTTTGAGATAGCAGAGGGAAAGAAATAAGGAAGACAAACTCGTAGGTAAGTAATGAAAATAGAAGGTTTACTACATGAAAGTACATTTAGCAAAATGACCTAATGCTAACTCTGCTTGACTCCACCTATTTACATAAATGAATGATTTTACTACACTAATCTTAGTAAACAAGAAATACTCATGAAAATTTCAGTTCTCCTATTTGAATTTTCTGATGAATCTTAATTCTTCAATTAAGGATTAAATAAGCTCATGGCAAGTTCTACAACAATAAAATATTCATAGAAATTCCCCTATCATATCGTTAAATATTTGAGCTTAACAACTTTAACAAAATATCACAATAACAATCAAATATGAATGCTGATTAAGAAGTGGGTACAAATGAAAAGATTTGAAACTGACAACTTTTTCCATTTTACTGAAACAGTTGTTAAACACTTCTATCCTCCTCCTTTCATTTTCTCACTGAAACCAAGTAGTGTCTCTGGTATGTCTTTTCCATCTTTACATGCAATCAAAACAGAATAGTCCATTATTCATGAGATATTAGTAGGAAACAAACACTTGTATCTTCCCTCTTTTTCATTTTTTCTGATATAACTATATCTTTCCATGCAATCAAAATGAAATGGTCCATTATTTATTAGGTATAGGCAGGGTGCAATGGTTGTGCTAATCAAGGGGGAGGGACAGAGACTGAATTATAATAAAATATCTTGAATATTTATAAAAATCTAACAATATTTAAAACATTTATATTTAATATTGATATATGATAAAGAAAAGAAGTGCTTACTTTGAGGTAGGATCCATAATACTTTGTAACGTAAGGACTGTCACATTGTGACAAGACCATTATCTCCTGCTGGATGTCTTCAATTTCATCTTCTGCTTCTTCAAGATCAATGATCTTTATGGCCACAATTTGCTTCGTTTCATTGTCAATTCCCTTGAACACTTCTCCAAAAGAACCTTTCCCAATTTTTTGTAATTTGGAGAACTTTGTTTCTGGATCGACTTGGTTTTTTCTCTGGAAAAGAAGAAAAAAAAAATAATTAAGAAATATAGCATCAATGATTTAATAGTTTTATATTAATATAAAAAAATAAAAAATAAGTTGGTTTTTGATTTTTAATAAAATAAATTGGCACAGTAACAGATTAGAAAAAATAAATTTAATTTTCTATTATTTCTAAAGAATGGATTTATTTTTGACATTTTTATTACTTGAAACTTTTTTTTCTTTTTTCTAGTGTATACTCGTGTTTGAAATGGATGCCTCCCTGCACGAAAAAATACCACCAGAGAGCAAGTTCACAGGGTGAGATGTGTTGTCTATTTCAAACACAGGTATCCACTAAAAGAATAACATTTTTCTATTTCCTGTCTTTTGAAATGGAGTAAAGGTTTATCCATCATTTCCCATTTAGGATTAGATTGCAGTTCCTTCTAAAGTATTTTCCATTCTCTTTCACTCACAATAGCCCTCTTGTGACTTAGTGGCACTATCAATTTGTTTAGGGTGAATTGATTTAAGAAAGAAGAAAAAAAATGAAAATATTTTACATGGTGAACCAGGCAATAGCATTTATAAGACTGATTGTAGTCAATAGCAATAAAATGGTTACAATAAGAAGATCACTAGTAGATTTATGTTAAGCATGGAGCTGGTCAGTGACAATGGTCATTTCAGAAAATGTTTGACCTTGACAATACCAACTTTCATTTCAACATGATTTCCTGCCAAGTTTTATCTTAGTTTTCAAACAGAACACAGACTAGTGGACACAGCCAATCTGCCTCACCCATTTCCTTTATTGAAAAGGAGGGCGTCAAATTAAAAGTTGATTATGCCTAGTCAATTGAGAAATAGCCAATAGAGTTACAAGTACAAAACAAGGGAAAGCATAACTTTCAATATGTGAAGTTATATCAAGTATTTTCAATGTAAAAAAAAAAAAAAAGTATAAAGTTAAAACTCAATGAATTAACACAATGAGTTTTAAAATGAAGGCATCATATGTATAATAAAAAAAAAAAAAAAAATTAAATTTATTGGCAGTTATTTTAAGCAGTAACCTGAAAGTATTTGCTACAGTGAAGCAATTTTGAGAGGAGTATGAAAGAGAAAAGATTCAAGCAATGTTTTATTTTAAAAGACATCAATGGCTGACTTATCCCACTGGGCTTTTAAAAAGCACATTTTCTTAAAATTTGATTCTGGTAAATATATATATTTTTTAAAAAATCATTTCACCCCAAGCAAGGCAATAAAGGTACTAAGATGCAAGGGGTTGCTGAGTATGAAAGAATGAGAAAATGAAAAACATTATTACAGAGAGAGAACAAAAGAACTGGGATTAAGAAGGGAAAAGATAACAATTGACATGACATTTAAATTTTTAAAGATCAAAACTGAAGCCGGAAGAAAATTCTGCAAGTGAGAAGTGCCAGAGAAGAAACTATTAGAATAGAACTTACATCATACCATTCCAACTGTGAAATGATAAGACCTAGCTGTCAAACTAGTACTGCACTTAAATTTGTAAAGTCTAGATACCAAAGAGAAAAACTTAAAACAATTATCAGGAAAATATTAATAGAGAATCTACGTGGGTGGGAAAGAGTACTGATGCCAAGTCAGGACCAATAGTATTGCAGATTCATCTTTGTATTTTATCAAGAATCTCTAAATACATAGCAGAAGCACCAGATCAGATGTGGCAGCAATATTAAATGCATAAATGAACGGTCAACTTATGTGTACAGATAGGTTCTGGTGAGAAAAATTGTCTAGCATGATACAGTGAACCAACTTTCCTAGCAGCACATCTAGCAACTGATTCAATATAATCTTTCTACTTCATGCCAACAGAGGCACAATAAGTCAAACTCCTGGAAGTTAGTATCATCCATGCTGTTGGAAGGCAAAACAGGTTCTCTAAGAGAGTAATTTTGTTTTGGAGGTATTAAAATTAACAAGCCATTTCTTGCCCCAGTTGACAACTGATTGTAGGTTATTTTTCAGGTCAACTGTCAATTTGACCTTATCAAACTGATCAGTTTTGCTTATATTTGTTATGTATCAGTGTATTTTATTTACTTTCATATTCAGTTATTGATTTTTATTTGGGACAAAAAAAAAAAAAAAATCTATAGTACTCCCAATTCATTGCTGCTAAGTCTTTTTAATGCACTGATATAAAAAATAAAATAAAATAAATGAAATTAATTAAGGACAATCATAAGATAAGCAACAGATGATAAAAAAAAAAAAAAAAAAACTCATTGTGATAGATAATATTTTCATAAGGATTGTGTGTGTGTGTGTGTTTTAGAATCAAGTTCAACTGGTAGAAATAATTGTCAGAAAGTAGAAACCATTGACCTGTGTACAAAATATCAGCAAGAGACAGACTGCAAACAATGACACATGCCCAAACATGTGCAACTTGTATAAAAGAACATACCAATGACTTTTCAACTTATTGGTCATCAGTTAAGCTAATGAAAAAGATTACATTTAGCTATTGATCAGCTTATCTGAGAAGAGTTGAAGTTTTCACTTCTTCAGTGTCATTATTGACAAAAAATATACAGATTCTACAAAATCTAAATACTGAGGATTGATTTAGAGAATTAAATACACTAAACATCAATAAAAATTTAGCAATAATCGTATAGCTGATTAATTTTAGGTTTTAATACCAAACCTTTAATTGAAAGAACCAGGTGTTTGCAGTAATAAAAGTTTTCTAAAAATATAAACAATCAATTCTGGACAGCTAATGTACTACAAAGAAAAAAGACTGCAATATGTCTTTCGACATAATAAACAAATAAGATACTGAAACCACAACTGATCACAATCAAAATGTAAAATCCATCGGGGTTTCATAATTCATTTCTTAAAAGAGATTATAGGAAGGATGCCCTATTAGAATGACTGGTAGAAATTTATTTTAAAATAAAAATGACAAAAAGTAATTTCTTAAGTCTTTATTATATGAAGGTGACAATATTTTAACTTTGAAAAGACTTAATTTAAAAGAGAAAAATTAAAATTTAAATGCAATGTCAATCGTAATTCTCCAGTCTCCTTGAATCCTGTTTTTTTATTGTCCCCTCTCCTTAATGATTTTTCTCATATTCTTTCAGTCTCAGTAATTGCTCGTGTCTTAGCAGCTTTATTGCCTTACTTGGGTTAAATATTAAATTGAAATGAGAAAAAATATATATAATTCAGCTTTGATGATCATAGTCAAGTGATAAATTATGAGCAATATTTACTGATTTTTTTTCTTACTTGTTAGCTATTACATTTGCTTTCTGTAATTATTAGAACCTATAAACAAGTATATATATATATATATATATATATGTATGTATTTTTACAAACTTTCAATTTAAATGTACATGAAACAAATACAAGTTACATGACATGCAGAATGGTTTCTAAGTATATTAAAAATTAAACAGAGACCTTATCAGGCAAATCCATCCAATAAAGCATGGTTGAATGAATTCTTGCTGCTATGGGGTGGGTGGGTGTGTGTGTGTGTGCACGTAATAAATAGAGAGACACACAGTGCTTAACCCTTTTGAGTCCTGTGACATGTGTCCTACAGATGCTTTTTTTTACACGTCCTGCGGGACATAATTGTCCCCAAAACACATGGATATGTGATAAAGCGGACAGTGTCCCATTGCTATATTTATAATAATACATTCAATAATATTTTTCTAAGTCATTTAGATATATCTACTAAAATGAACAACAATAATTTTTGCTGTATACATCAATTACATGAATGTGGACTTGAAAAGGTTAGTAGAATGTGGTTCTAAAGGAGGATTCTGAGAATACCATAGATGGAACATGCAAGAAAAAAAAAGAAAGTTTTAAAGAAAAAGACTTTGCTTAGAATCAGAAAGAGAAAGTTGAAACTTCTGGAACATGAGAAAAGATGGATTGGAGAATTTGACACCCTCAAGACATTGAAGGTAAAAGGGGGACAGAAGGAAGCAGCAAGTAACATTTAACAAGTGTAAATGGATGACAATATAGACTGATATTGTAAGGGGACAAATATTATTTAGAACCACAAAGCGAAAGATAGGAAGTTGTGAAAAGCCATGATCACTTATGTCCTGAAGGAGGCACAGAATATAAAAAAATTATTCCTTGACACTGATGTACCAGTTAACTAGACTCCAGACAAGGATTGCTTAAAAAGTAGTGCACCCAATTTTATTATATTTGTCCATGACAGAGGCAGATGATGGTGATATGACAGTAAAAGTTAAACCATCCCATCTATAACAAATTTTTTGCCTTGTCACAGATAGTCTGACAAACCAACATCTGACATGAAAGCGCATAGGAGCCAGAAGTGTATCATCAAATTCTTCAATGCAGAAAAAAATTGCACACATTGACATTCATCAATGCTTCCTAAACATTTATAGAAACCAAACAGTGAATGCAAGCATAGTTAAGCACTGCATTTCAGCAGTGGCATTAATGATGGGTATGAAAGTCATGTACCTGGCAGCCCAGCACACCTGTCAATACACAATAGTGGTTATTGTGAAAAAAGTGTTTTTCTTTTTGTTAACTGAAAACTTGCTGTATCTGATATAGTTATTGTGCTTCTTTTATCATTTCTGTAAAAATAAATAGGAGGTATTACTTTTCAGTGCATCCTTTATGTATGTATATATTAGTTGATATGAATATATTAAGCGTGTTATTGTTAACAAAAGGTCCTCACATCAGGCCAACCATTGTTAGCAGGTAGGTGTAGCCTACATTCCACAATAGTCACTCATACATGTCTGATTTGAAAAGGTGGTCAATCTATGAAAATTTTTTTAAACTATACAAAAAAATTCTAGTGTTGACACCAGTTTTTGTTTTTTTTTTATTTATGAAAAAGAAAAAAAAAAAACAAGGATTTATTTATACACACACACACACAATTATACTTGAGGTTCAAATTAATATAGTATCAAGCACACCCATTTAAC